TAAAAAACAAACCTTGAGGGCCAGCATCTCATATGGGTGCTGGTTCATGTCCCAGCTGATCCATTTCCCATCTAGTTCCCTGTCTGTGGCCTGGGAAAGCTGTAGAGAATGGCCCAAAGCCTGCATCCTTGTGGGAGACTTGGAAGAAGCTCCTGGCTTTTGGCTTTAGATGGTTCCAGGTTCAGCCACTGTGGTCACTTGGGGAGTGAACCAGAGAATGGAAGATCTTTCTTTCCTTGTCTACTCACCTTTCAAATACAAAAGCAAACCTTAAAAAACAAACAAACCAAACAAACAAAAAAACCAACCCAGCAGAGCCTTTGGGACATACTAAGTGCCTTGAAGTATGAACTGCCATTCTTGGTCCTGCCGTAGTTCTGGTGGTCTGCTGGCTAACTCTGCCCAGTTTTGCCTTGTGGGGTTCCGGACGAGACCTACTGCACACAGGGACCTGGCGAACCCTTGGCCCTCTAGTCAGCCCCCTACAGCGGCAGGCCCCCCAGCGGGACCCCAGCCATAGCCCTTTACTGAAACAGCTACGCGTTCTAGTATGATCTGAGCAAGCCAGGCACCACAGTGACCCTGACCAAGATCTAGAGTGAGGGGAGGGGCGGGGGTCACAACAGAACCTCCCTGTGCTTCCTTGGCCGGCTGCTCACATCAGGGGCCTCCACCTCCCTGTAACCCCGCCCTGCCGCCTGTGCTGAGTGCTGATTGGCCCGCGATGTGGTCATTCCCTGTGCTTATCCTCAGGGATAGGCTGAAGCTCCTGCAAGGGCTCCACTCTGACCAATGAAATAAGGACACTGCAATATAGGGCTGTGGGCTACAGTTCTTTCCTTTGCTGGGTTCCCTCTTGCCCACCTGTGATGCCTGGCACTGCCCCAGCCATGACACAGGGTTCCACGGTACCATACAGAAAAACACAAGTCCTTGGTGGCATTATCAAAGCTTTAAGTCACCCAACCCTGGGGCGGTCCAACTCATAAGCTCTTATCTCACTCAGCTCAAACCTCTTATTGTTTGAGTCAAGTTAAGTCACAAAGAATTGCTGGCTGAGTGTCCCCGGGCTCATCTCCTTGAGATGAAGTCCATCAAGCCAGAGTTGGCATCTGAGTCCAGCTGTGCATTCAGGGAAGGCTTCCTGGAGGTGGTGAAGCAAACAAACCAAAGCAAAAAAAGAATAGAAGGAGTGAGCAGGCAGACAAAAGGCAGAGAGCATGGAAGGAGTCGGATTTACAGGCCCAAAGGCTCAAGGCACCAGGGGGATGCAGGGGTTACAAAGCATGGGCTGCAGGGGCTGCAGGGGCTAGAAGAGCTGGAGCGGTGGGCTGAAGAGGTTTCCAGAAAGGGCAGAGAGGAAATACCGTGGGCAGCCAGCAGTCTGCTGCCAGAGAGGGTCTTGGAGTTTCTAGAAAAGTCCCCAACATTCCTTCAACCCCTATTCCAACTGTACCCACACTGCCCCTAGTGGCCTGGGAGCCAGGGCTGGGGATGGGGCACTGCTACAGGTGAGTCTGCTGTGCCCTCCTGCCCCCAGCACGGGAAGGACACTCCTCAGCAGCTCCGGCCAACATCTGGCCAGAATCTGGGTCACCCTGCTGCCAGGGATGGAAATCCATCAGCCCAACAGCTAACTGAGCACCAACGACCTGGAGGGCTTGGTGTGGGGTGTGTGTGTGTGGGGGGGGGGAGCAGGTTCAACTTCTGCTTCAGGGTTCTTCCCAGGTGTGTGACCTTGAGCCAAGCCCAGCGTGGCTCCAACTCGTCGGAGGTGGCCGGGGGGGGGGGGGCTGTGGGCACAGTGCCCCATACCTTCTGTTTATGATGGAACTGTGGGAGGGCTGGACGGTGACTGGGTTACAGGAAGGAAGTGTAGGTGGGTGGTGCTGAAAGACAAGCCTCTTGGGAGGAGCAGAGGCCCCCCAAGGTGGATGGGCGGGCACCACCGGAGATGGCCTAGCGGTTCAGACCTGTGCTCCCCAACGTTTCAGGCTAGGGTGCTGCCAATGCAGATGCTGGAACCCTCAAGGAATGTGGCCCTTAGCCGCAGGTGCAAATCCCAGCTCCATCTTGGGCTGTGCGGGCCCCGGGTTCCCGCTGTGAAGGCAGCCACAGTCAGAGCAGAGGTATGGTGTGCGCACTGCCGGGAGGTGAACCTGGGGGACCAGGGTGCCTGCTTCCACCTCACTAATCCCTATGAAAGGTCTAAGATTCATTGCCACCTCCTACAGGAAGCTTCCCAGCACCCCCTCCAGGAGGTCCACAGTTGGCCACTCTGTTTGAAGACCATCCCTTCCCTGCCAGGACCTTCTTCTCTCTCCCTTCCCACCAGGCCCTGGGCTTCAGAAAGGGAGGGGCACTGTGGCCCACCTAGCATCTCTTGGACCCAGCGGCTCCCTTCTCTGCCCCCGGCACGGAGTGGGTCTCTCCCAATGCCATTTCCCTTCCCACGCCTCCACCCCAGGTAGGCATGAGGGAGGAAGTGACTAAGTGTGCCGGGGAGTGGAGAGGAGGGGGGCTTGGGAAGGTTTCGGGGTGATATCACAGGATCTTAAGGGCCAGATGGGAATGTTCTAGGGGGTGGGGTGTGTTCCAAGCAAGAGACGCAGGCTGTGCAGGTGCACAGGGACGGAGGTGTGGAGGGTAGGACAAGGTGAACCGGGGGTCACTGGAGGCTCTGTTGGGGACTGGCTTCAGAGGCAACTCCATGATCCTGGGGGGGTGGGGGGGGCGGGCACTGTGTGAAGCTCAGGTGGGGTGTGGGAGGCAAGGACAGAGCCATGGGCCGCCAGCTGGGACAGGCTGTGTGGGAAGAGCCAGGGCGACTCTGTCACCTGGGTGACCGAGGAGGGCAACCAGCTCAAGTCTTTTACCTGGACCCCAGCACCGCTGACGACTTGCTGAAAAGCTATTTTCTACATCATTCCATGGCACACATACACACGCAGCAGCTCGGCAAAGTGGGGTGTGATGTCCATTCTCCACAGGGAAAGAGTTGAAGGAGAGGGGGCCCTTTCCCTGGCCCACTCAGGCGGGGTGGGGGAAGAGGACTTGTGGCCACTGAAGACATGCCTCAAGACATGAGCGGACTCCTTGGTCAAATGCGTTCGGCACCTTCTGGAGCCACGCAGCTAACCTTTGACCCCTGAGTCACTGGGAGGTGGGACCTGTCACCTGGGCCTAGTGGGGATACATTTCCCACTGAGCCCAACCTGTCTAGGAGTCCTCCAAACTGGCCTTGGGAGGGGCGGAGGGAGGGGCTGCAACACGGCGGGGTGTTCGCCCCATCAGGGAAGAGGAACCCTGGGAGCCCACTTTTGGGGGGGCTTTTCTAAGAAGCCCCCTCGAGTCCCTCCTCCTCCCAGCACCCAGGCACAGCCGCAGCCTGAGTCATCCTCCTTTGAATGGTAGCAGAGAGAGAGAGAGAGAGAGAGAGAGAGAGAGAGAGAGAGAAAGCCAGGGGGTTGCCACCAGAGGTTGAGGGCTTGGGGGGAAGGGGCAAAGATGATCTGCTGACCTCTAGTCTATGTGCCCCAAGGAAGGGGGGGCAGACCAGGAGGGAGGCGAGCAGCCAGGGGGGTGGGCCCAGGGGGCCCGACTGGTGCGTGTCATGAGGGGTGTGTTTTTTGGGGGAGGCAGACCAGAATCTGTTTGTTTTCAGATGATGTGTTTAATAATTACCTCTTGCAATCTCACAGGAGCAGGAGGGAAGGACCCCCCAACAACCACCACAACAAGAAAGCAGCAGCGGGGAGAAAGAAAGTAAACAAAATGCGTCCCCCCCTCCCCAGCTCCGGCTCCAGCTCTCGGAACAATGGCCGGGACTCAGCTCCCGGTGCAGCCACACACATCAAAGTGAGATTTCCCAGCAAGAACTTTCACAGGCAAATCACAGACTCCCACGGAACGCTCTCCCTGCGGCCAAGGAGGGCCGCTGGGGGTGGGGGAGAGGGGCCCCGGTCAATTTTCAGGTTCACCTTGACCTGTCACGGCCCTGGGGGAGAACCTCAGGCAAGCCCAGGAACCCCGAACTAGTCATAAGGGTGGCAAACCCGGAGACTCCAGTTGGAGCAGCTGGCCCGCTGCTTCCTAAAAAAAAATATATATATCACCACCCCTAACCCTGTCACCTCCTTTCACCTGGCATGGGGGAAAATCCAACTTTTCACCACCCCTCCTCCTTTTACCTCCCGAGGACTACAGCATTCGAGGCCAGCCTCCAGGGCGATGCACAAACTCACCCTTCCACGGTTCAGTAGCCCCCCACTCCCCCAACCCCCCCACCCTTGCCTTGGACCCTATGGAGAAAAGAATCGTCGAGACCCTCCCCCACCGTCCGCAACCCTTGCAGGCACCTTCAGATCAACACTCACTAACGATTTTACAAATTTTTTTTTTTCCTGCTCCGGGTTAGCGGCGCTAGGGCAAGAACTCCCCAACGCCCCCCCCCCCCCCGCTCCCCAAACCCCCTGCCGCACCACGGCCTTGGGGAAGGGGAGTGTGTGTGTGTGGGGGGACCCGGTCCAGTGAGGGGAGGATGGGGGATGGGAGGGGGCGTGAGTTTGTTTTTGCCACTGCCGCGTCTTCACACCTGTTTTTCATTCATTCATTCGTTCGCCCATCCATTCATTCGCGGATTCGCCCTACCCTTCCCCCCCCATCCCCCATCCCCAGTTTTTCTGGGGGTGGGGTAGGGATTGCGATGGGGAGGGCTGGGGAGGGGGCGCATCGCCGTCGTGGGGAGAGGGGAGGGTGTCCGGGTGGAGCGGCCGTGGGTTCCATCTCCCCCCTCCACAACCCTCTCCAAGCCCGGTAAGGCTCGGGCTTTTGTGGCCGCCGGGGCAGGCGGCGGGGGCGCTCCGGGCCCCAAGTTGTTTTCCTGAGGCGCGGCGACGAGCCCCGGCGCCCGGGCTTGCGCCTTTGTCTGCACCCCGGGCCGTCGTCGCGGACACCACCCCCTTCTCCCCCTCCAAGCCCCGACCTCCCCGCGCGCTCACCTGGTCTTGGACGACAGGAAGGCAAGTTTGATGAGGCCGTAGGTGAAGAGCGGCAGACTCTCCTTGGCGACGCTGGCAACTTGCAGCCGGTGTTCCAGGATGTGGAGTTCCATCGTCCGCCCGCGCTGCGCGCTCCGCGGCGGCGCATCGGCGGGGGGCGAGCCGCGGCCCCCGCCCCCTCCGCGGGCAGCCGGCCGGGGCACCGGGAGCCGGGCCGCACCCAACAGGGGGGCCCCGCCAAGTTGTGAGGGGTCCGCGGACGGCGGCGGCGGTGGTGGCGGCTGAGGGCGGCAGCGCCGGCAGAGCAGCCGAGCGACGGAGCGGCGGCGGCGGCGGCGGCGGCGGCAGCTCGCGGCGACCGGCGCGGGGAGCAGCTGGTGTTCGCTGGAACAAACAACTTGCCACTCAAACGCCGGTCGGCGCGCTGCGCAGGCGCGGCCGCGCGGCGCTTGCCGGGATTTGTAGTCCACGCGGCCCCAAAGCTGCGTCGTCGTCGTCGTCGTCGTCGTTGTCGCCGGCGGCTGGGGTCCGGGAGCTGCTGGGCCGCAAGGTTGCACTTGGGAATGCGGCAGCGCGGGGCCCGGCGGAGGCGCAGAGGCGGCCGAGGCTGAGACTGAGGGCGCCAAGAGCCCGCTAGAGCCTCGGTCCGCGCTCTGTGGCTCTTGTGAGGGCCCGGGATTCGGCGTTTGGTCGCGGTTGGTGTGTGTGTGTGTGTGGGGGGCGGTGTCCAGAGAGTCACCCCAAAAGACTCCCTGCGTGGGAGGATGCCCACGCAGGAGAGAGGCTTACGGCCGTGCAAGGAAATTCAAACCGAAAGAGGAGGGTCCAGGGGGGCTGTGCAGGGCGGCGGGTTTGGGGTTGGGATAGAGGGGTGCGGCAAGGGGACCATGCAGGCCGGGTTCTGCAGGGTGCAGGGGAACTCGAGGGGAGCAGGTTGCAGAGAGGGACCAGACGCGGGGCCGAAGGAACAGCGCGTCCCGAGTCACGGGAGAGTGAGAGCCCTCACGGAGCCGTGTTTGGCTTTTTGCTGCTGTGGAAAATATGAGGGAGGAGAGGCGAGAGATAAGGCAGGCGCGTCGGGCTGTGCGTTGTGTTGGGTGAGTTGGGGGGTGGGTGCAGGGGGATCAGCTGGCCTGGATGGCCTTGAACCTCAGAGGTGGGGCAGGGAGGAAGGGGTGAGCGGTCGGCTCCCGGAGGCACCTGGGATACAGCAGCAGCCCTTTCCAGGCCATACCCCATCGCCTCCCCTGCTGAGTGGTTGCCGGGGTTGAACATTTTCTAGGTCAAAGTTGCTGGTGCTTTGCCCTTTGGCAGCGCGAGTTGGCCAGGACGAGTCAGTCTGTTCACTACCATCCCGTTGGGAAGGGGCTTTACGGGACAAATTTAGTTTTGCTAAGAAACTTCTCACCTTCTATGTAAAAAAAAAAAAAAAAAAGGAGTGTTCAGTCCGTGCACCCATGTTGGCCTTCAGAGCTTTCAGATCCAGGAGCAGGGTGGGGGTGGGCAGCCAAGGGGCGCAGCTGTGGAACTCCGCTGGGTCCCTGCAGTCAGCGAGGGCAGGCGGAAGAGGGAGGCTCCTTCGGAAGGGTAGCCTTCAGCGTCTCACAGCAGCGCCAACAGGGGATAAAACAAAATAAACAAGGCTGCAGGTGGCATTGGGCCCATGTTCTGACTTCAGCGCTGGATGGCTGATGTGACTCGCCAGCAGATGGTGCAAGGATTTAGCGAGGCATGACCAGCTTTGCTCTGTCCCCTTCAAAAGAAAGAAAGGCAGGGCTGGGTGGGGAATCGTGTTGTGGCAAAGTGGGCTAAATGGCAGATTGCGGTGCTTCCAACTTCCCCTATAGGAGCATCAGTTCGAGTCCCAGCTGCTCCACTTCCAATGCAGCTCCCTGCTAATGTACCTGGGAAGGCAGCCGAAGATGCCACCAAGTGTTTGGGCCCCTGCATCCGTGAAGGAGATTGCCCAGAGCTCAGAGAGAACCAGCAGATGGGAGAGTCGCTTTTCCTGTCACTCTGTCTTTCAAATAAATAAGTAAATAAAACAAAAACAAACCAACGATAACAAAGAAAATGGGAGAGATTATTGTAAGGAAAGGTTACTATTACTTTAAAATTTTTTCTTAAGTTTTATTTATTTTTATTGGAAAGTCAGATATATATATAGAGGAGGAGAGACAGAGAGGAAGATCTTCTGTCTGCTGATTCTCTCCCCAAGTGACTGCAGTGGTCAGAGCTTAGCTGATCCAAAGCCAGGAGCCCAGAGCCTCTTCTGGGTCTCCCACACGGGTGCAGGGGCCCAAGGCTTTGGGCTGTCCCTGACTGCTTTCCCAGGCCACAAAGAGGGAGGCAGGGCTGCCAGGACCCAAGCCGGTGCCATATGGGATCCTAGTGCATGCAAGGCGAGGACTTTAGCCACTAGGTTACTGTGCTGGGCCCTGCTTTCTTGATTTTCATTTGAAAGTCAGATCTACAGAGAGGAGAGACAGAGAGATATCTTCCATCCAATAGTTATGGAGGAGCCAGGAGCCAGGAGCTTTCTTTTAGGTCTCCCACGTAGGTGCAGGGGCCTAAGACTTTGGGCCATCCTTTGCTCCTTTCTCAGGCCACAAGTAGGGAGCTGGATGGGATGTGGAGCACCTAGGACACAATCTGGCACCCGTATGGGATGCTGACGCTTGCAGGTGGAGGATCGGCCAATTGAGCCAGTGCACCAGGCCCTTGGGCTTAAGATTTCTGTGACTGTCACTCTCGCAGTTTGGGTGGGACTAGGAGATTGACCTCTGAGTTGCCAGATCCCAAGGTGGAGGCCAGCGAGGCCGGCCGTGCCCTGGTGAGTTCTTAGGACCATGATATGGCGAGGTGGGCACTGTCCCAGGGGAGTTCCCCTCCTCCCACATCAGTTCCCCAGCATGGCATTCTCAAGTTCTTCTGTTTTTTTTTTTTTTTTTTTTTTAACTTTATTTATTGGAACTGGAAAGGCAGAGTTACAAGGAGGGGAGTGGAACAGCGAGAGATCTTCTGTCCTCTGGTTCAGTCCCCAAGTGACCTCAAACCTGGGCTGGTCTGAAGCCAGGAGCTTCATCCAGATCTTACACATGGATGGAGGGGCTCAAGCAGTTGAGCCATCGTCTGCTTCTTTCCCAGCATCAGCAGAAAGCTGAATGGAAAATGGAGCAGCTGCAACTTGAGCCAGCACCACAGACAGAGACTTAACATGCTATGCAACAGCGCCACTGGTCTTTCCTCTGGACTTCTAAGCGCGGTTCTACTCTGAGTATTAAGTCACCTGCCACTCCCTCCTGGAGTACGTTGACACAGAGATGGCCTTGGAGGGCTGGCACCTCCCGGAAGTACTCCCACAGGGGTTTGGGGCTTGGCCACATGACGTCCAGGAGTCTGATTGGTGAAGTATTAGCACACAGGCTCTGTGAACACTGTGTGGTCCACCTGCCAGCCTCTGACGCTGCCCTGAGACTAGGCTGCTGTCCAGGAAGCTTGGGTTCAAGGCTGTGTGGAGTGGGAGTGTGATAGGCTGAGCTAGTCTGGACTGTGGAACTTACCTGACACTTGACTGGAGCTGGGAAGGAGCTGGGCCGGGCCAGGCTGCAACACTCACTGGCACATACAAAGACCGGGACTGGGCAAACCATGCCAACTAGGGTTATGACACTTGCCAGCCTGCGTGAAATCTAGGGTTAGGAGCTGACCTGGTAGGGGAACTCCACTGCTAGGCAGCAGCTCCCGTTGAGGAGTACAGTAACCTGGGATGGGGGTGGGCCAGGCCAGGAAAGGCTGCAGCACTAATCGGCATATATGTGTGCCTGGTCTGAGGGCAGGCTGGGCTGGGCTGGGCCAGTCCACAGCACACACTGGCATGACTGAGAGCCAAACAGAGTACAGGCCAGGTTGGGCAGGACTGCAGCACCCACCAGTTCACATGGGAGCTATGGGTTTCCAGGCTAAACCAAGCTATAGCACCTGATGGCAAATGCTAAAACAGGGGATGGGCCATCCCAGACTGGGGCACAGTACCCACTGGCATGCGTAATACCTGGGGCTGGGAGCAGGCCTGGTGGGGGAACTCTGGGGACTGCTTGCTGGGCTGCTGCTTTCACTGGTGAGGGTGAGAGCTGGGACTGGAGGCAGGCCAACCTGAGCTTTACTGCTGTAGCCACTGACATTTGTGAAAGATAGTATGGGAGTGGACCAACTGGGCTAGGCTGTAGCACCCATTGGCAAGTTCTGGGACTAGGTGTGAGTCGTTTCAGGCTGAACCACAGTACTCCCTGCCAGGATCAAGATCCAAGGCTGGGAGCAGGTCTGGCAGGGGAACTGTGGGCTCTCTCCTGCTGGGCTGTGGCTCCTGCTGGTGAGTCTGAGAGCCAGGACTGGGGGCAGGCCAGGCTGGACAAGGTGGCAGCACCAGTTAGCATATATGTGAGGGCTGGGTCTGGGGGCGGGTTAGGCTGAGCTGGGCTGCAACACCCATGGGTGTGTACAAGAGACAGATGGGATGTAGGATAGAGTCAGCTAGGCCACAACACAGGCTGACATACACAAAAACCTGGGCTGGGGCCTGGCTTGGTAGGGGTTATTGGGGATCACTCCAACTAGGCGATGCTGGTATGTGTGAGGACCGGGTCTGTGGAAGGCTGGCACATCGGTTCACATGAGGTATGGTGCTGGAGCCAAACTGACTAGACAGCTGTAGCTAATGATATGTGCATTGGCTGGTACAGGTGACAGACCAAACATGACCTTGCACTGGCTGGTGTACATAAGAGTCAAGTGTGAGTTCACACGGGTGAGATGTCTTGGGGGACCGGACTGCTGGAATCAGACCCTTCCAACTGTGGCTGCAGAGTGCAGGCCCCTGCTGGCAGCCGTACCAGGTGGGTTAGTAAGGCTCAGTCCCCACAATCGCATGGTAGTGAGCTCCCCGTAGTGAGGAGTATCAGCCAGCAGGAGTCCCAGAGAGGGCTGGGAGATTAGGCTTGAGAAGTGTGCGCAGGGTGGAATTGGAGCCAAGTTGTGGCAAACTGCAAGTCTCACTTTTAAACTTGACCTGGAGTGGGAAGACTCCTCGCCCTTCCCCACAGGATAAACTGCTCAGATGGGGGAGGAGAGCGTCAGGACTACTCTGTCTGGTGTCTTTTCCTGGATTCAGGCTCTTTTCTGGATCCTCCTCTCGTCCTTAGGAGAGCGGACTCTCAATCTCCCCGTGGCAATCTGCCAGAGGCAACGATAAGGACCACAGGGAGCCGTGCAGGGCTTCTGAGCAGGAGAGGAGCCCGTGGTGGCTGTTCCGATGGG